CTTTTCCCCATTCAAGATGATATTGGCAGTGGGTTTACCATTTATGGCTTTAATTATGTTGAGATACTTTCCATCTGTACCTAACTTATAGAGAGTCTTTATCATGAATGAGTGTTGAATTTTATCAAATGCTTTTTCAGCATCTATAGAGATGATCATATGGTCCTTGTGTTTGATTTTATTGATATGGTGTATCACATTTATTGATTTGCATATGCTGAATCAACTTTGCATCCCTGGGATGCATCCCACTTGATCATGGTGTATAATTTTGCATATGTGTTGCTGTATTCTGTTAGCTAGTATTTTATTGAGGATTTTTCCATGTATATTCATCAAGGATATTGACCTGTAGTTTTCTTTTTTAATTGTATCTTTACCTGGTTTTGGTATCAGGCTGATGTTTGCTTCATAGAATGAGTTTGGGAGAATTGCCTCTGTTTCAATCTTTTGGAATAGTTTGTAGAGAATTGGTGTCAATTCCTCTTTGAATGCTTGGTAAAATTCTGCTGTGAATCCATCTGGTCCTGGGCTTTTCTTTTTTGGGAGCCTTCTTATAACAGCTTCAATCTCTTTTATTGTTATAGGTCTGTTCAGACTTTCTACATGTTCTTGGCTCAGTTTTGGTAGCTTGTGTGTGTCCAGAAATTTATCCATTTCCTCCATATTTTCAAATTTGTTGTTATATACTTGTTTATAGTAGTCTCAAATGATTCCATGTATTTCAGATGTATCAGTTGTAATATCACCTTTTTCATTTCCAATTTTTGTTATTTGGATCTTCTGTCTTCTTTTTTTAGTTAGCCGTGCTAATGTTTTGTCAATTTTATTTATCTTTTCAAAAAACCAACTATTAGATTCATTGATCTTTTGTATTGTTTTCTGGGTTTCAATTTCTTTAAATTCTGCTCTGATCTTACGGATTTCTTTCTGTCTGCTTTTCCCCAAGCATGCCATTCATGCTTCATTCATTCAATGATTTTTTAATTCATTGTAAAAGGCAAGCTATGCATTTCATATAGAGCAGTGAATAGACAGAGGCTCCATCCTAATGGAGTATTTTAGCGGAGAGAACAGATAAACACATACATACAAATGGAGAACATGATTTTACGTAGTGACAAATGCTGTGAAGAAAATATTCTATGCACTGTCATCTATACCTTTGCATTTTCCCTTTATTATTTTATTCAGTAAGTCTAGCCTTTACTGAGTGCTTACTGTGTGTCAGGCAAAGAGCTAAGCACAGAGCTGTCAGTGAAGAGCTCAGACTTGTCTTCTATGTCTTCACTATAGTGAAGGAAACAACCAAAGTAAACAACTACGCATTGTGGCAAGTGTCCTCAGAAAGGACAAACAAGGTGCTTTGGGAGCACAGAGCATGATGACCTGTATCGTCCCCTGTGTCTAGGATACCTTTCCCCCAGCATTTCCCCTTTGCCTGGAATTCTTGAGCTCATCCTTCAGGCTCTAACCTTAGATATCTCTCCTTTCAAGAAAACTAGCACAGCCTCTGGTTCATAGCAGGTGCTTAGCAAGCATTTGTGTGTTTTTATTTTTATTTTTATAATAGTATTGTTTTATAAATAGTGCAGTGTTTTCTTAATTTATCCAAAAGGTGGGTGTTCATTATAACGAGTGAGTCAATTCACATTACAGAATAATATGGGCATTGTGATTATATTTTAGTAAAAGCAAACAAGTAAAACCCCTTTATATGTGTGTTAATTATTGTATATATTAGTAGAAGTAAAGAGAAAAGTGTAGAAGAATATGCTCCAAGCTATTAACAGGGAGCAAATGATCAGCTTTGGCTTTTTGCGTCTTAGTGCTAATAGATATTTGTGGAATGTGTGAATAAGGATTGCTAATAACGGTGAAATGGATTGGCCTGAAAAGTAGTGAGCATCTACTGACCCTTGAGGACTGAGTGAATACCGTCCTGCTCAAATCACACACCCTTCTGTTTGTGTTTTATTTTAGCTACATTTTGACATCTGGTAAACCTAAATGATTTCATAAGTGAATTAAAAACCAAGAGAGCATGAATAATCAATTCCTGTCCTATATCCAACTTGCTTAATAGATTATTATATCATAATTTCCTCTTCTGCAAATTAGGAATTATAGACTTTCTGTGAAATAATTAGACTGGTTAAAAGACACTTATATTCATAAAGTACTAAAGAGTTGCCAAGTACAAGTGAAAATTCTATTTTTCTTTTGTGACATTCATGCTGATTATGCTCCAGAAAATCTTTTGCATTATAAAGCACTGCTATGATCCTCTTTGAAGTTAAATATACAACCCTTGAAATTCCTATAACCCTTGAAATTCAGTAACCTTCCACTCTGTACTCTGGATCTAGACATTAAGTGGGGATCTGATGGAGTAAAAGCCAAACCACAGGCCATTGCTAATATAGAAGCTCTTTCATGAGTTTGCATAGTGGCAAGACTGTGTCTTTGGGCTCTTTATAAACCTTGCTTGAGTCATTCAGGCAATTTAGGAATCAACTCAACATCAAGAGAAGCTTCAGGTTACAGCCCAAGCCCACAGGTTTTTATGGGCCTACACATCTTGGACAAGTAAGGGCTGTGCTGTATCTGAGATGGTCTTCGGGGATGAGAGGAAGATGAGTGTGTTCCAAAGCCATATAGATTCTATAGGAAGCTTTGCACATGGACCACACTTACACTACTTCCCACTTCTCCCTCACAGCAGAGCATAGATGTAGCCTCGCTCCTGTGATACTATGGTGGCCTTCTTTCTCCTATCTTTAATTTCAACTTTCCTGCATTCACTGATACTCAGTGTATGTCCATTGGCCATTTCTGCCAGGCACGAAATCAATGAAGAAAGGAAGATTAAGGGGTGACTTTCCCCTACTTCCCATCTACATCTCTCCTTTCTCAGTAGTGCCACTCCAATAATTAAGCTGTACGGTCTGCATAATAAGCTTTATCTTTATTTAACTTTTTTTATCTACCGAATGAAGGTAATAATGACACCTGACTTATAGGGTTGTTTTGAGGATTTAATGAAATAATTAATATAAAATGCTTAGAGCCTTGTCTTGAATGGTGATCACTCATTAAATGGTAGCTATAATTAATATTAGCAGTATTGATATTATTCAGTTATCATCCCACATTTATTTTATCCTAATAAAGATTGGCTATCTTTAGAGTTTTGACAAGTGAAGAAATGCAAAGGTAAGGAATCATATACCGACCTTATAGCTGTGTTAAGGAAAATCATACAAGTAGCCCAAATTTCACTCTCTATTCATATGCGCTAGTCATACAAGGAATCACTCTATTAGCTGCATCACTGGAATCCTGAAGTGGCATGATATCTTTGCCCTGTTATCTGTGTGGGCAGAACTCTTTAACACATTCTCTTAGAATGGCAAAAGCATCATTTTCTCTTTCTCACCTGTTCCTGTTTCCCAATCATGTGTACTTATCCTCCATAACTGAAATTAAGCTCTTTGGAGCACAGGTTTAGAATACACAGACCTAGTTTCAAAGGTCACAAGCCAAGGTGTAGACAATTCAACTTCCCCCCACCACCCTCCCAGAGTATTGGGACCTGGGATAGATTGCAAAGAGCTAGAACTTGGCTAAAGAATAGCTGTGTATCACTTGAACTTTTAAAAAATTCATAAAACCTCTCTAGCAGTTAAAAGGGGCTGCGAATTTTGCTCAGGAAAAAAAATAGAGAAGCTAGTTACTGGATTTCATAGTGTTCTTAAATGGTTACTATGAACTTAAATTCTGATTTTGGTTCACTTTCTTAAACAAGTGTATTTTTTTATTCAACTGAGGACATTAGTCAAGAGGTTATATGCATTTCTAAGTATTTTTCTGCGTATATTATCAGTAGCAGGTACTTCCTGACATTAATACCATAAAATCTGATTGTACTGTCAAAACCATTTCTTTTACAGTTACTCTGCTAATGACTTGAAATAATAATTGACACATTCCACTTGCAGTCAACAGATGTGCTTATAGAGTAATGCATGGTTTAAATCTTGAGCAGTTAAGGTATAGAATAAATCAAATTGGGGGAAGGACCAAATTTTTCCTGAGTACAGTGGCCCACAACTTGGAAACATTTCATTCATTGCAATCCATGGACACAATATGCTCTTCATTAGCATATGTGAAGTTGCCAAAAGTGTAGCTATCTATTCATTATTTTGTTCTATTTTTAGTTAACACATCTCTCCTCCATTGTGCTTAAGTTTTTTCGTTGTCCTAATTCTGGCTGATAAAATTTAATTAAGCAAACTAATTTTACAACTTCCGATAACAACATAAAAGCAAACCTTGGCACTGTATTGAGCCTTAAATTCTTTCTTCAAAGCAACACCTATTTGGTGGAAATTTACTTCATTATATTATATATTTTTTCTAGCTATATCCATAATTCTGGGTTTATCAAGTATGTATCCATTCAACATGGCATGCACAAATGTAGGCATTAAAAACACTCCTCCTAACAATACTATTGAGATTGATCTAAAATGAAAATTCAGATAAAATAAGAATAGACAGAGTAAAAGTGAAAAGAAAAAAAGGTCACTTGGAATTATTTGTGCTCAGTGTTCCTAGATGATTAATAATGTTACATAAGAATTGGCCATTGGTAAGAAATTGCCATATCAAGTAAGGATAATTAACTATTTGCTACTTTTTTCTTCAATTTTATTTATATTTATTTTAGTGGGGTACAGTGTGTTGTTTCAATACGTGCATATACCACACAATGATTCACTTAGAGTAGATAGCATAGTTTTGTACCTGTTAGTCTCTTGAATTCTGCTTTTAAGAAACTTCTTTCAAGAAATTCATAAACTATAGTTAATGATTTGAACCATACAGGCATATATAGGGCTATAAATATATATGTGTGAATATATACATAATATACTCTATGTATAAAGGAAATACCTTCATGAAAAGTCATGTTTTTTTATTTAATATTTCAGATGTACATTACCAACACAATCAAAGCCAAAGGAACCAGACTTGCTAAGCCGGTTCTGTGCTTGGGATTAATGTGTTTGGCCTTTCTTACTGGACTCAACAGAGTAGCAGAATATCGAAATCATTGGTCAGATGTGATAGCAGGCTTTCTGGTTGGAATATCTATAGCAGTATTTCTGGTAAGTACAAACTTATTTAGATATTATTAGGTTTTTAATTAACTTGCATGTCCATCTGTAAGAAAATACAAGTGTGCATCACTGGGTTTATCTAAATGTGGCATATCAAACAATAATATATATATTTTTAAGTCATTCTTTTCTTTCTCTATTTGTTCTGCCTAAAGTCAGGTTTGGGATGAAAAAAATATAAGTTTTACACTTAAACGTGAACATGTTTCCATATAAAATGAAGCAGAGCTAAAACACTGTCTTCCCCAGTTATTTTTTAAGACTGGATTGTTTGGAAATTTTTACAATTTCCTCAGTGCAGTTTGCATCTTGGAGTATCTAGAGCATCCCAGTGTACCCTCGTGCCCCCATGTCACAGTGCTTTCTAACGGGCAGACCTCACTTTTGACATGAGCTGTTTCACTTCAGTGACTAATAATTCATGGATAGTTTCCAAGACGATACCATCTCAAATCACATTTTACCAAGTAATCAACAGCCCACACAGTGACTTCTAATGAAGTAAGAATGCCATCTATACTCTTATTATAAAATCTCCTAGGAATATTTCTATAGGTTTTGGTTGTTAGAAAATATATTTTAGTCTGATCTTAGAATTCATCAGTCCATTATAAGTATAGGTATGCAACATTTTACCCAGATGAAAGACTGTGTAGGCTACAAATCAAAACATATTTTTACACTGACACATTATATTTTAAGAAATATTTTACTTTCAGTTCCATTACATTTAAATTGCTTCTCACATGTAGCTTTCCTTCCTTAGCCTTTTTTTTTTTTTTTTTAACTAGTTAATGACCAGGAAGCAAAAACTTATGTGAACCTTTCTAGCTACCAAATGTTTGAGCACCATTTATGTACTGGGCATTTTAAATAGGTTATTTCCTCTAGAATCCCCCACAGTAAAGTAGTCACCATGACCTCAAGTCTGCTCTACATCCTGTGCATATTTTTTTCTTTATGTTCCTCTTTCTGCTTCCCAAGGTCCCTGGAAGACTTAGGCCCAACCTTCTCCTTCTCCCTTAGAGAGACTCTGTAGCCTCATGGAGACTGGGGCCCAGGCTTGGGCCAAAACCTTTTCCTTTCTTTTACTCACCATGGTTGAAACTTGTTAATATTTTAAAAAGGAAAATAAAAAGCGTACACAAATCCTAAGAAAACAATCATAGGTAGAGCAAAGAGCATACCAGGAGTCAAAATTTCAAGGCACTGGTGTCAGATATAACTGTGTTCCAGCCCTGCAGTTCCAGAACATCTTCACTGGCATCTCATCCGCCTTCTTGTTTATCCTCCTGTGGCTGTGTCCATCTTCTCTTTACTTCCAGTGAACGTCTTAACATTTTATAAGGCCAAAGCCAGTTTCCCAGCCTGAGACCCATGTGGTAAACGATGAGCAGGACTCTGGATCCCTTTTGGCTGTAGACTCTCCCATTGCACATATTATAAACATCCCATGATAGCCCTACAAATACTCCCACACACTCAGGAAAATGACCTCATGACAGGGTTGTGAGGACACCATGCCCACATCATAAGTAAGCATACGTTTATGCACTCCTTCACAAGCATTTAGGAGTGTGAGTGTCCATGGGCGTCAGACCCTGTGCCGAGAGCTGGCAGTATGAGGGGGCTCGGATAAACATGGCCTGTCTCTGGTGGGACTTACCGTCTGCTGTGGGGGTCAAACACTAATAGATTCCTCCGTTAAACACTCCTTACCTCTCTTCTGTCATAAAATAAACATTTACTGAGCCTCTACTGCAATCCAGGCATTGTGCTTGATGCTGGGAATAAATACATGAAAAAGATACAGTCCAATGTGCATACTTAAGTAAATCACAGTCTGTTGGGGAAAAAAATTAGACACAAAGAGTTTTACAAGAGTTAATGTAATGATAGTAGTACATACTCTGGCGAAATTAGGGGTAAATCAGAAAGGGAGGTGATCCATCAACCTGCACGTTTGTAAAGCAGGTGGGTCGAGGCTGGGCATAAAGAATAAGGGGCAAAGAGCACCGTGCACAGAGGCGACAGGACATGCTTCATAAATAAGTGTGCGTGGAGCACCTTGTCTGTTCCAGGCCCGGGGCATAGCGTGTGCACGAGTAGCCCGGCAGCCTGGGATGGGAGCAGTCACCCAGCACGAGTGAGAAGGCGGGGATGGAAAAGCACGCGGGGGGTGGGGGGTTGCTGGCGGGGATATCTGGAATGGCTGTATATCGGGAAAATAATCGGGCTTTTGTTTACGAACGTGGGTGATTTGGGAGCCTCTGTCAGGCTTCAAGTGAGTTAAAACAGTAAAACCTCCTGGTGAAATACCAGCTTCTCCATATACTCGATTTATACCATTAAAGCAATTGGCTTAGCCTTGCTGAGCCTCAGTTTCTCCCTCTTTAAATGAGGCTAATAGCCTCCCTAAAGGATCATTATTAGGATCTACAGAGGTTAAACAAAATAGTGCGTGTTTGTTGAATGTCCATACAAATAACTAAAATAAGTTCCATAAATGATAGTTTGTTTCCTCTCAGTTACTTTTACTGTGTGATAAGATCTGCACTTTGAAAACATGTTTGCTGGAGAATAAAGCTCCAGGTGAGGATAGAGGAGACAGGTAATGGAGAACCAGGGAAATAAGATGGCACAAACTGGACCTCGGGGAACAGAGAAGTAGGATACCTTGCGTATTCTCTGGGATATTCAGGAGGTGGAACGGTTTGGAGCCTGCTGGAACACTGGAGGTGACGTGGATGAGGCGGAAGGAGTGTTCTATCATGATGCCTGGGTTTCTCATTTTGGCAACCCAGCAGAACATTTATTTTGAGCAGTGACTCCAGCTCTGGCCTGCAATATCCTGAGGTGTTTCCAATTATCTTGCTCTGTGTGCAGAATCATAAAGTGATTCCAAAATAAAATTAATGCTGATCCACTCCAAGCCTGTGTGTCAAGGTTAAGGCAGCTCACATGCCCATCACTCAGACTGTGCCTAGCAGTTGTCTTTGACTCATCCCCCGGCTCCTCCCCACGCCAGTGATTCATCTAGCCCAAGTTCATTTCCACTACAAAAATATTTCTTCCATGTTTTATGTCGTTGCCCTTCTGACCATATCCCCTCAATCTAGAGATTGTTGCTCCTCACCTCTGCTACATCTACAGGTTCCCAGCTGCCTCCTCACTTCAGACTTGCCTTAAAATACCTCCCCCATTCTGCTTCTGTGTTCTTTATAACAGCTCACTGCTAATAGCAAAACAAAAACAAAATCAAAACCTCTTCTCTGCTGCTTCAAATCCAGACACTTGCATTGGACTTCTGTGGTCCTCACTAATCCGGCTGTACTCTTCCTAGTGAAGTTTATTTTTCCCTCTTCACAGAGTAAATAAATCCTGCACTTAGAATCCCATCAGTTTTCTTCCTCTCTCACTAACAGGCTCTGTCCATACTACACATGTGCCTCAGTGGGAATACCTACTCTTGGGTATATTTTAGAAGCAAAACGGGTTGCGAGTCAGAAAAGCCTAGGCGTGAATCCTGCCTTTGCCACTTGCTGAAAGTAGGACCTCGGACAAGTCGCTCAGCTCTTCAGTATTCAATGTTCCTGAAATAGTGAGGCCTTCCCTAAACCATGTTTAAAATGGCTACCCCTCCCCGAGGGTTGCTCTCCTCATTTCCTACTTTACTTTTCTCCATAGCATGTTCCAGCTTGTAAGATGTGATACTAACTTAATTCATTCGTGTGCAATAAATTCGTGTGTAATACGCCACGTATAGCATTTTTGTTTTTGTTTTGCTGCCAATCCCGCTAGAATGTAAACTTCTCGTGGAGAAGTCTTTTCGTTTGTTTTGTTCACTGTGCATCCCTAGTACCTAGAACAGAGTCTGGCACATAGGAGGTACCATAGCATGTTCCAGCTTGTAAGATGTGATACTAACTTAATTCATTCGTGTGCAATAAATTAGTGTGTAATACACCACGTATAGCATTTTTGTTTTTGTTTTGCTGCCAATCCCACTAGAATGTAAACTTCTCGTGGAGAAGTCTTTTCGTTTGTTTTGTTCACTGTGCATCCCTAGTACCTAGAACAGAGTCTGGCACATAGGAGGTATTCAGTAATGATGAGTGAGTGAAGGAGGAAATGTTTGATTTACTTCCCAGAGCTCTTTTAAGGTTGAAGTGAAATCCCACATGTAATAAATATAGCTGAACACCTGATACAGAGAAGGAGCTGGATATCATAAAGGATTTGACTGCGGTGGTCACAGGTGAGGACTATGCTTTGACCACTGTAGTCAAATCCTCACTTTTGACCACTGTAGTCAGATCCTTTATGCACTTGAGATTTGCCTCAGGCAAGTCCCAGTTTCCCCAGGAAGTGTCCCTGATCAGCTGGTTCTCCTATTTTTCCTGGATTTCTATAACTCTCTCAGTTTGTCCTGTTAAAATCTAACAAGAAATTATATTCTGTCCTAAATTTATCATTCTTATTTATGTGCATCTTGATTAAAGTTATGGAGCAGATCTTTATGCTTAGCAAAATACAAAACAAAAACTGGTTGAACAATAATTATAGATTATAATTTTATAGAAATATGTGCCTCATGTTACTTCCAAAAATGATATATATTACAGTGTCAGAATCATTCATGTTTATGGAGCCACACCATATATTATCATATATAATATAATATAATAATAACAATAATAGTTATTTATATGCTTTTTATTATATTAGCTCAATCCCCATAACAGCTCATTGAGATATAGTTATTATTGTCCTCATTTTGAACATTAAAAAAAAAAAAAAACAATACCAGGCCTGGTTATATTAAGTGGCTTGCCCAAGTTCACAAAGTTAATTACATGAGAGAGTCCAGGATTAAGATCTAGATCTGTTTGACCCCCCAACCCATGCATGTAACTCCATGCAATAATGATGCTTCATTGCCACAAAGGAAGAAGGAAAATAAATACTAATGGATTAAATTTGCTATCACTACTGAAAAAAGAAAAGAAAAAATGTATATGTAGTGATTTATTAGTATCATCTTTGTAGGAGAAGGTAGAATTATGGAAGTCACTAATATAAAAATAGAATGTCAAAGGAAAGTAGCTTTAAATTATATAGGCACATGAGAAAATTTGAGAATTTGTGGCCTGGATTGCTCAATCATTCATCAGTTCACTCACTGTGGCAGTGGGAAAACAATGGTGAGAGAAAAAACAAAAAACAGCATCTCTGATTTTGTGGAGCTTACAGCCTCAGAAAGGACTCACATCGATCAAAGTATCACTCTAACTGATGTATAATTTCATATTGAGATGGGTGCTTTGATTAAAAGAATCACAGTTCCAGGTGAGCCAAAAGCAAACTAACAAAAACAAAACAAACCATCTTATCGTGGGGTGAGGGGAAAGCATCCATGAGGAAGTGATGTTGAGATGAGAGACTGAGTTAGACACGGCACCCAAGGACAGTGCAGATGAGGAGCATTCCAAGCAGAGGAAGTGAAGGGAAGAGACGGTGTTTGGAAAACTGAAAGAAGAAAGGCTGCGGAGGTGAGCCAGCGTTTACACCTCATTATAAGGGAAAGGGGAAGCCAAGCCACAAATGCTTTTAAGAGGATGACATGATCCACCTTGGACTTGCAAAGCTTATTCTCACGTCTTTATAGAAAACAGATTGGAGGGGCCAACACTAGATTTAGGGAGACAGATTAAAAAGTTACGCAGGAACCCAGGCAAGAGATGGTGGTTCTTAGTCTTTGGAGCTGTTGGTGGATAGAATGAAGCAGATATAAGAAATCAAGATATTTAGATACCAAGATATTTAAGAAGTAAAATTGAGCAGATTCAGGGACTGGCTGAATTAAGGAGATGTAAAGGATAATCCAGGTTTTCAGCCTTGTGCAACTGCATCGGGATGGGAGTGGGGGAGCGGGGAAGGGGTGTTACCTTTCCCTGAGAGGGTTCAGAAAAAGATCAAGGCTGGAGTGGGGTCAGGAGATGAGCAAATCTTGAGTTTAGCTTTGAACACTTGTTGAATTTGTTATATGCACTTGCCAACCGAAGAAACGAACTTAACTTAGTGATTAATTGCAGTCTCTTCACATTCTATTTGAGAACACTGAGACCCAGAGAACTGTCCAAGAACAAATAGACTCAGACAGTCTCGGGATCAAAAACCAGATCTTTTGCTTTTCCTTATTTTTACCAACAGGAAATCAATTCCATACTTGTGAATGTTTGCAGACAGGAATTAAATATTTGAATGTGACTCTAAAGAAGATTCGGTAATCTCTTTTCATATAAAAAATAAGTAATGAAGAATAATCATTGTGCTAATAGATACCTTTTAATATATATCTACTATGTGTTAGGCTCTCAAGCATTTCACATGAATTCTCAGCTGCTTCAGTAATTTTCCTGATCTTTAATTAAGGCAAAGAGATAACCAATACATCCTTTCAAAGAGTTTTTCAAACCTAAATAATATAAAATACAATTATACTAATTCCAGAAGCCCATATTAACTCTAGATGAGCTTTCCTTCATCTCATGAGTTCCATCATGTCTGTGTACATAGTTATTTCAACAAATTTTACATCAGAGGAATTATCAGCAAATGTTTCATCTGCTCAATTTTTTTTAAAAAAAATCTATAATACTAATGAAAAGGGAAATGTGTGTGTCTATATGTATTTCTTGTAATGAGTGTGAAACTGCTTGTTTTGTTGTTACTGTTGGCTAAAATTCTTGATTATTATCATTTGTATTCCAAAGAGGTGGTCGGCAAACTACAGTCCACAGACCATTTGGCCTGCTGCCTATTTTCATAAAGAAAATTATGTCAGACCAATGACATGCCCACTCATTTATGAATTGTCAATGGCTGCTTCCTCACCAAAAGGGCAGTTGAGTAGTTGCCGCGAGACTGTAAGCCTGCAAAGCCAAAAACACGTACTATCTTCCCTTTACAGACAAAATCTGACAACCCTATCTCTACAGCAGTCAGTATCTGTTAGTTCTTTGTTGGGTCATGAAGCTGGCAACATCATTCGATATAAGATTTACCAAATGCCCTTCTCCAAGCCTTACCATCCCTTATTTTAAAGATCTTGGTGGCAATGGTGAAGTTGAGGTATCAAATTATCAGGCTTTGATCTATGTTTCTAATTTATAATACTTCTAGGAAGTGGAGGACAAGAACTATATAAAATCTCCAAGGAAATATATTTCTGACATAAAGTCATAGTATGTGTTATTATTTTGTAGATTTGTACATTCTTTTTAAAAACTGTACAATAGCCAAGATTTTATTGGCCTTTGAATATACTCGGTAATGAGCCCTATTAAAGAAAAGGCTTTCCAATGGAGCATTTGTGAAAATATGCAATGTAAATGTATAATTATATATTAAGTATTTATTTTAAAAATCACTGTGGCACCTTCTGTTTTGCTACTTGTTAGCAGTGCAGTTTGGGAAGCGCGGCGGCGCTCCCGTCCGAGGGTTTGGATCCCACATACAGACCGGCTCCCGCTCACTGGCTGAGCGAGGCGTGGGAGCAACACCGAGGTTTGCAATCCCGTTGCCGGTCCCTGGTCCGGTACGGGGGCAACACTGAGGGTTGCAATCCGTTGCCGGACACGGAAAAATAAGACAAAAGACAAAAAAAAAAAAAAAAAGTGAATGTTAGGTTATTACTGCAAGTGAGTTCTGTATTTTGACTTATAATAGAATATAAAACCCAGGAAAAGAAAACTCAAGAATACCTTACCTGCTAATAGAAACAAACAATAGCAAATAATTTTTCCATGTTGTTTAATTCACTATTTCTTAAAATATGGTCTACTTGCATTAGAAATTTCTGTAATGGGCCGGCCCGGTGGCGCACTGGAGAGTGTGCCGCTTGGGAGCGTGGCGGCGCTCCCGCTGAGGGTTCAGATCCCATGTGGAGACCGGTTCCCGCTCACTGGCTGAGCATGGTGCGGGCGCAACACCGAGGGTTGCGATCCCGTTGCCGGTCAGTAAAAAAGACAAAAAGAAAAAAAAAAAAAAGAAATTTCTGCAATGCATTTTAAAAGTGCCAACTCCTATGCCCCATCCCTCATTTACTAAATCAAAATCTTTAGGGGAAGGCTTAGGAATATGCATTTTTAACAGTGCCAGAACTTTATTTTTATGCACTCTAAAGTATGAGACCTTCTGGTGTATTTCAAAATCTGTCACATATGGGATATAATTAATTGAAACAAGGGTCAATTTCCTTTATGGTAAAGGTTATTCTATTTCAAGAGTAGCCCCTGTAAGCTATCGTTGAAATGCCAAGTATATATGGGACACAAAAATAGACAATAAACTGGGTTAATTAAAGGGATGCTACTAAATTGGAGAGTTCCAGTTGTAGAAGTTTTATTATGAATGTAATGATCTTGAAGCAATGGAAAATAATTAGCATTTAAATTAAGTTGTAGGTTAGACGCATTAGGGAAAGGTTAGCTTGCTGTGAATTTTGATAAGGTTATGGTGTTATTTTTGGATTGATTTGAGCATTGACTATACTTTAATGAAAATTTCGGAATAATAAAATTGTCATTATTAATTGAGCCACATATTAATTGGTAAGTTTCTTGAACATATCTGCATTGAAGTAGCTATTAAAATTTATGCAAGGGCTGGCCCGGTGGCGCACTGGATAGTGCGCCGCTTGGGAAGTGCGGCGGCACTCCCGCCCGGGGGTTCGGATCCCACATACAGACCGGTTCCCACTCACTGGCTGAGCGAGGTGCGGGAGCAACACTGAGGGTTGCGATCCCGTAGCCGGTCCCGGTCCGGTACGGGGGCAACACTGAGGGTTGCGATCCATTGCCGGACATGGAAAAAAGACAAAAGACAAAAAAAAAAAAAAAAAAAAAATTATGCAAGATAAATCTGGATGTAACATTAAATATGTAATATTTAAGTAATTTTAATACTTACATTTATATTTAAGTTTATGTTGATATTTTATATTTATATTTATTTATGTTTATTAAGCTATTCACAAGGATAATATTCATAGAGAGAGCATAGTTTTGATTCAACTGAAATTGTTTTCTGAAATTTTAGGTCGTGTGCGTGGTAAATAATTTCAAAGGAAGACAGCCAGAAAACGAACATATACACATGGATAATCTGGCACAGATGCCAATGATCAGCATTCCTCGAGTAGAAAGTCCTTTGGAAAAGGTAACATCTGTACAGGTGATTTATAATTTAAATTCTAAAATGTGATTGTTATCTAGAGCAAATGAATAATTATTCCTGTGTGTATGTCTGGAGAGTGCCTTCACAGTCAGTGCTGATTACCTGAAACAACCTCAGAGTCTAGTGGTATTTAGCAAGATTTAGCCACTTAGAAATCATCTTAGAAAAATGCATGAATACCTGTTACATGGAATCTATTCAGTACCTTGCCGTAACTTCTGAAGAAGGAACACTGTACATTGGTCTCACAAGTAGGCAAAATAATAAGATGGTTTTACTTGCAAATACTCATATATGCATTTTTCACAAAATACATTCCATTTCTGCCATGTTCCATTTCTATGAGAAAGAGCTTAGTATAATGCCTGGCACGTGCTTAGTCTCAATGAACAAAGATCTGGCAGCAGGAAAACACCAGTCGTGCTCTCCTAACCAGGGAGGCACTGAGGGTCGGGTTGGTCTGAATGCAGTTGGACCATGCGGCACTTTGAATGGCAATGAATATGCAAGCCAGGCACTTCACAAAAACTGTTCTTGAGACTTTTGTGAACCAGATAGGGTAATATTTCCTAATTTTGATGCAGTTATGTGTGTTTGTAACTAATTAAATGATTGCTCAGAGGGTTCTTAGTGGCTTCTCCTCAGCCCTGTCCACTTCCATATTCTGATCCGTATCTTAGATGAAGAGTTCCGTTACATGCTAATCAGCTGTTTAGATGATGTGAACCCGTGAGGGACAATTAATACATTGGATGAAAGAATAAAATTCTTGAGAGACCACAATAAGGTATAGTTGACTAGAAATAAAGGAAGTGTTTTGTATTTGGATTTTTTTAAAAGTCCATGTGTAGGATGAGGTACATCTAGGTTAACTGCACAAATGCAGAAGGCTCAGAGGGTGCACAAGGCTACCATTCAGCATGTGTCAACCACACTGTCCCACGGAGGGAAAATGAGATCGCAAATGAGGCTGATGGTTGGCTCTGCTCAGCTCTGGTCAGACCAACTTATAACACTGTGTACTGACCTTGACAACACAATGCAAAATGGAATAGTTAGTACTCAATACATGTTGGTTAAATGAGTAAATGAATATGTCCAGGATGGTGAGTGGACTCCAAGTCGTGGATTATAAGGGACTGTAGGAGAAATGATAAATGATTAGTCTAGAGGAAAAGAGAATTCATGAAAGAAATTATATCTTCACATAAGTATCCAATGGACTAATGTACAACACAGGGATGAGATTAGTTCTGTAGGGCCTTAGAGATCACAATTGGGACAAGAGAAAAGAAAGTGAGTGTAAAAAAGTAAATAATGGCTTGAAAGAAGAAAAAAAAAAACTTTCTGAAAATGGTATAGCTACCTTAAGAGAGATGAAATTTCCTTTTACTATAGGGATTCCAGAATAGCTAAATAATCATTTGTCCATGATACTGTGGAAAGAATTCAAGCATTTAGGTAAGGATAGAGGTAACTAATAATAATAATAATAATAACAACAACAACAACAACAATAACAACTACCATTTAATGATCCAGTATGTGTCAAGTTCTATGCTAATGGTTTATATAAACTCCACAAAAACACTTCTGTGCTCTACAAGTGTAATAACAGTCCTCACAGCAACTTTTAAAGCTGGGTCTCAATATAGTGACACATTCTGATAATAGTCCACCAGTATTCCTTCTGTTTTTCCCTTTAGTGATTAAATCCCCCCATGTTAACTACTGTCACGACCGCCTAGCTACAGTCTATATTCCCAGCTTCCCTTGCAGTTAGGTGTGACCATGTGTTCAAGTTCAGACCAATGGAATGTGAGCAGAAGGGAAAGTACAATATCTGGTCTATCTTTTTTGTGGAAACTTGACCTGGACATTCTCTATTCTTTCTTGCCAAATGGAGAAGGTAATGACAGGAGCAACCTTGGAAGTCACTTTGTAAGATGATCAATCTATCCTGCCAGCCTGGGTCCAAGGATATACATACTCTAGGTGGATCTGAGAAATAAATGAACTGTTTTTCCCTCTGAGCCATTGGACTGTTTTATTTTTTATGGTGGTTTAGTTAATGTCCTATTACAATAAATTTTTCCATTTTACAATTAAGAAAACAGCACTTCCAAGTGGCTAACTCATAAATGTTCACATTTTTAAACAGCAGAGAAAAATTATACAATGTAATATTTCAGGATACATACCTATGTGAAAAAATATGTTTTAAAAACCAAATAATATGTACAAAATTAGATCTTTTTCAACTTTACAAATAAGGACAGAAAGCAATGGAATTTAGGAAGATATCTTGCACACATTTTGAATAGTCAGAGTAACAGAGTCCTTTCATTTTATATACCTCTGAAATTAAAAATAATCACAGTCTTCAGCTTTTTAACATATTTATTTGCATGAGTGTTCTTTAGTAGCTTCCTAGGACTGCCAAATATTCTTATATACCATTATATCATTCTATATATTAAATGATCAAAAAAATTCCTGTTGTTGACTTTATATTAATTCATTTTCATTTAGTTTTAAAATATTAGATTGTAAAAGCAAAAATATTCCATTAGAATTTATAAATTTCTAGAGATGAGTGTTTATTAACTTCTCATTTAATTTTTGTTTATTAGTCCGTGTACTTCGTTTTCACTCTGGTAGTTAGGGAATAAAGGTGGTTTGAACCTGGTTCTGTTCTCCCTTCCTTGCCACAGTGCGACGGCACCACACCCTGCTGGGCACCTACTTTATTTTCCCTCTTTTCATTCCTATTCCCAGGCAAGATGTTGTCTGTCCAGTGCATGGTCTGACCCCGTACTCATACAGACCATGGGAGGATCACGAGACAAAGTTCTGGCACATATCTCAAACTTCCCTTTAAAACTCTGCTGCTGAGAAGACATGTATTTGTGCTCATCAGCCAGAAAGGGACAAAGGGTGTCACTTAAAGGAAGCCTACAATCACTTTCTCTTCTTTTTGTGATAAGGAGTATTTGGGATGAATACGAGTGTATTGCTTTTCATCATAGTTCACGGTGGTAAAGAAGTGAATGGAAAATTCTTCCCAGTACTTTGATCCTAATAAATGATAGTTAGAGAGTGACATGAGATCCTTAAAGCTGGCCCTCTGACGAGAGAAAGGGAGCCCTGTGTTAAAGTTTGATCTGCAGGCACGGCCAATAGTTTTAGCATTATTATGCCAAGCTGTCATTTTCTAGCTGTCGCTTTTGTGTGGAGAAAGCAAAGGATTTCTTTTAGAAGTTATGTACTTAAACAACCTCTTATGTTCAAAGTACATGTTTGATAAACTGTAAGCTGCAGAGTAATACAGCATACAAGCATTCTTTATTTTTATGTCAGCTATTTATCCCTTAATTATAGGGAGTTCGTCATATAGTTAATTACCATAGTTTATGAGGAAAAGTCATGATTTTTCTCAAAGCTAAGTAAATCTGAAAATTCATTATATTTGTTTTATGAAAATAATTAGTCATCTGTGGAAAGTGGCCAGTCATATCCCAACATGCACTAAATATTCAAGTTACCAGTAACTTCATTATGGTTGTTTGTCATATCAAATTGTGAAAAGCTTTAATGAATATCAGGAAGGAATTATTAAATCAGTTGTGGCACATTCCTGTAATGGGATCAGGTCATTATGGTGCGGTGCCTCTGCTCACAGGCTGGAGAGGCAGACTGAGAATTTTGGACAGTTTTGACCTTAAGCAACTCACTTAAATACTAGGTGACTCATTTTTCTGTTTCATAAATTGATCATTATGAGAGTTCAATAAGCTAATAGTAAAGCACTTAGAACAGTGTCTGGCATCTATGGAACCCTTAATAATTGCCAACTATAATTATTATTACCATTTAACAGTTAAAATGGATGAGATAAATCAAGACGTGCAAAGTTTCTCAATATATATTGTGAATTTTTTAAAAAATCTTTATATATATATAAAATGTGTGTGTGCATAATGAAACCAGTTATGCAAAATACCACACAAGATATTTATCTCTAGTAGGACAGAAAGAAGCATGTAGATGAGAAAGAGAAAGAGAGAGAGAGAGAGAGAGAAAGAGAGAAATGGACACTGATCAGAGAAATCCTTAAACTCAAGGAGGCAACTGAGATAGTGGACCATGACTTTACCTACATTCCTGATTCTTTCTCTCTCTTCCTTTCTTTCTTTCTCTCTGTCTTTTCTTCTTTCTTTCTTTCTTTTCTTTATCTTTTTTCCTTCTATAATGAAAGACTATACTATTTAAGAATAATTATATAACTAAAAATAATTAAAATTTTTAAAAGTTATTCAGTTTTCTTGAGCTACTGTCTAAGGAGGTCCTGGTTATGTTTCTTATTGGATTGACCACTAATATTTCCAGATTGAACAAAGTTCCTTGGAAAAATTCCCCCAGGGTTGTTTAAATCCTTGTGCTCCTTCCTTATAACTCATCTGATCTTTTTGAAAGTGTTCAGTTTATTTTTCTGACTAATTGGGCATGGAAATCTTGGTTGTGGCTCCCATGCACTTATGCTCAGTATCGAGCTTTCCTGGGTACACCTGCAGCCATCCCCATTTTTGGCCCTAACAGCTCCAGGGCCCTGCACATTAGCTGTATGTAGTGCCTCTCACTTACAGGATCCACAAAGTTCCCACCCGACCAAAAACCCAGGGAGCAAAATCTCTTTGTAGGTCACACCACTCCTTCCTCTCAAACTCATCCTTTTCTGGCTCCTGCCTTTGAGCCCACGCATCCCCAACGAAAGCTCAGTGTTGCATGTCTCCAGAAATGCAAGACACTATTAATTACCCTTGTGAGTCCACGAAACAAAGTTCTGACTCTCCTTCTAGGAAGTGGATATGGAAATATTTACATTTTCTTTATCTTAGTCTCCTATATTAGCAAGAACAAAGTAGGATTTAATATCTTAATAGCTGTGTCAGCAAGAGTGCAACTAGATAGTAGTGTAAAAT